ATAATTGTTCATGACAACTACTGATTATGGTTGTGCAGGTTTCACTTACACAGGCTAGAATTGATATGAGTGAGCTTGATGAGGATTCTGATGGTTTCCTTCAACCACATGTATGAATTTGTATTGCTATTAGGCTTCCAATGGTTTAAAATTGAACAGTCGGTTTGAGATCTCTTTTATTTATTCTTTTGTTGTACATATTTATTCTTTAATATAAATTAGTTATTTCTTTGATACAATTGTCTCTGTCCTCATTTCCTTAAATAGCAGCATTTCACCAGTGTTACTATGTTTATGCGGTGGTATCACTTGTTTCACTGCTTATTATGATCATCTAACCTTTATTTTTTTGGCATGCATATAGTTCTTTATAAGGTTATTATATTGTTTATTTTGTATGCTAAATATGAAGTTGGGAATAAACTGTGTTTGAACTGTTGCTTACTTTCTTATATAAAAAGATTATGTTAACCTTCATTTATTATTATTCTTGTTGCTAACTTGTCATTGTTATTGACTTTGCTCTTCAGGAAATGGAGGCCTATATACGTGGTCTTATACCCAACTTGGCACAGTTACGTGATATGCCAGCAGCCTTTGTTCAAATGTACTGTCGTATTGCTGCACACAAATTCTTCTTCTTTTGTGATCCTCATAGACGAGGTTTGCATGCCCGATGTCTTTTAGTTGCTCAGTTTAGATGTTGCTTCATAGTTGTATTTCCCTCTATTTTGATGTCTATATTGTTACAATTGATATGCTTTTTTTTTAATTTTAAAATGATCAATTTTTCTAATTTGTGCCCAAGAGTACACAATAAAAACTGATATTTAGTAGGTTGTTATTGAAAATCACAGGACCCAATACAACGAGAAAATGAGACCTTGATTAAACATGAGCTCCCCAAATACTTTCCTGTATGGTGTCCTGTCTCTGCCTGGGCTTTATCAAATAAAAGCTATTGATGCTTAGATTCTAATTCCAATTCAATGTCCCTGTTTCTCCCCAATACTTTCTTATTATTTAAAGGTTGAGTTGCAAAGAAGGGCCAGTAAATGGTGTCAGTTTATATGCCCTAGTTGGGGCATGAGAAAATATTGGCTGAGTTGTATCTCAAGTCTCAACTATATATATTTTTAAATGTTTGAGATTGTGTATACAATCACAATTGAGGTAATGCAGAATTTTTTTATCCGACTAGTACTATCAAAGTCTAGATAATATATTTTTTTCTTACAGGAAAAGCTTGCATCAAGAAAGTATTGCTTAGTAATTGTCTCCAGGAGCTAATGGAGCTTCACCAGGTAGATTATATAAGAAGTTTTCTTAATATCTTTAGAACCAAATGTCATAGTATTCCGTTCTCTCCCTCTCTCTAGTTGCTTCCTATTGTCCTGAACCCCCTGGTTCTTATCTTTTTATACATTACCTCACATGATTCATTTGCTTTGTTTTAATAATAAGTGTGAACTGTATTTGGTTCAAACTCAATATAAGATTGAAGCTCTATTTAAGTATGCTGCTGTGTATTTCAGGAAAGCGAAGAGGAAGTCACTGACACAGAACAAGCTGAAAACTGGTTCTCTTTGACTTCTGCTCAACGCATATGCGGTGGGTTTTCTACATTTTTTAAGATTCCAGTAATCATTTACCTACTGCTCCTGGTCTATTGTAGTTGTACTATCCTTACTTCTTTCTGATATATTTGAATGGGTAGTGTTAGGGAAATTTCTTATTAAATTCTTACTGTATAATTTTCGTATTGAACTCTTGCATTGACAGGCCAAATTTTCATGATGAATTGAAATTGTGAATATAATTGGGGTTAAAATTATTTCCTATCAATTTGTGTTAATGTGTATTGTTAACTTTTTGGCAGACATGTTTCTTGCCCTTGATAAAGATGCAAATGGGACATTGAGCAAGCAGGAGTTGCGAGAATATGCTGATGGGACTCTGACCGATATTTTTATTGAGAGAGGTAGATAATACCATTCTTCAGTTGGTGTAAATTTTGGCTTGTATTTATCATTGGCATGAATATCTTTTTACATATTCCTAACTCCAAAATGCTGGTTTCCTTCAATTTCCGATTGGTAATAATGACTGTGGCTGATGCCCTTGTATTATTTGTTCTCTATTTTCCTGTGCTATTGTTGTTTACTGCTGGATTAAACATCAGGGTTTGTTTGGCAATTTGCATGTGATTCTGTGTCATTGATGATTTGATACTCATTGTCTTTCTTAAATAAATGACTTAAAATAATCGCAATTCCTGTAGTATATGATGAACATGTTCGTCGTGGAAAAAGTGGTGGTGGAAATGCCCGGGAGATGGATTTTGAGAGTTTCTTGGACTTTGTTCTGGCTTTAGAAAACAAAGACACCCCAGAAGGCTTGACATACTTGTTTCGGTGCCTTGATCTTCAAGGAAGGGGTTACCTTACTACAGCTGATATTCACTCCCTTTTCAGGTAAACTGTCGTACTGTTGGTAGACTATTTATTTAGTATTTAAAACTTTTTGTTAGTTTTTGAAACTTTACTACATTTCTTGGGCTCTTTGATTTTAACTTGCACGTGGTATTGATATAGTTTTTTGTACAAGTTTTCAAACTTATAAAAAAGTAATTAATATTTACTGCAATTATTGGAAGAATAGAAGGGGAGCATCTATATGCCGAGATGTTGCCTGATACAATCTTCCTATAGAAACAAACTGTTGTTTCCTGCTTGTAGTGCTTGAGCAAGTCCTGCAAGTCTCAAATAGGACAGGTGACACATTAGTTATAAGATGCAACCCACGGAGATCTTTGATGTCCCATAGCTGGCAGTGTGATTCAATGATTATATAATTTGACAGTGTTACTTTAACTTCTCACTGACTAACCATTTTTTTTCTTGAAAAAAAAAAAAAAAAGAGATGTACACCATAAATGGATTGAAGGTGGCAACTATGAACTTTGTATTGAAGATGTGCGGGATGAAATCTGGGACATGGTTAAGCCAGCAGATCCACTCAAGATTTCGTTAGCTGATCTACTGGCCTGCAAACAAGGTGGAACTGTAGCCAGCATGCTCATAGATGTGCGTGGTTTCTGGGCTCATGACAACAGAGAAAATCTTCTCCAGGAAGAAGAAGAACCAGAGGAAGAATAACACTGGTCACCGACTTGCTAACAAAACTTCTGGCTTAAATACATTTCAACTTAGAATTCTCACAAGATGTAACCTCTTCTGTTTGAGTCATTAGATGTGTGGAATTAGTTGAGTTTATCTGTATGTTAACAGTAAAAACATCATTAATTAGTGTATCTAATAGCCATTGGTTCGAAGTTCGAATTTACACTTCGCTTTAGCCAAATGCTATGGTTTGATCTAAATCAATAATATCGCGCTGTTGTCCATGCTAAGTGATATACAATACTATCTCAATTTGCAAAACTTTGGAATACATTGAAATGATATAAAATTTATATAATAGAATTTTATTAAAATTTACATAATTTAGTATAATTTAATATAATTATAGCATTACATTTATACTTTTTAGTAGAAGTTTATTATAAATAATTTTTTATTTTATACAAGTTAAAAAATTAATAAAATTGACAGCCTACTAAATTGAATGTATAAAGGTACGGAATTCGGGAATCTGCCTAGAGTTCATGTTTGGATTAACCATGTGAGAACTTCTGAAAGATTTTTTCTTTATCGGTTATTATTATTATTTGTCAAAATCAGTTTGTGAATAGAGATGTCCAAAAAGCCTACACCGAATGTTTATTACATTCGGAGTGGATGTAGATTCGGGTTGAGAGCATCTTACGGCGTCGTTTCATACACATGGAAATCTGTATTTGTAGGGTCGGCTCTCTCCATTCTCAGAAAGCATGGTTAAATCTCATTCTCCAAGTTCCCCTCATAAACCTCACACCACAGTCACAGGCACCATCAAGTGTAAGAACCTCATTTGAACCGTTGGCACCCTTCAGGTGATTGATCCTTCAAGAGCAACTTTTGTTCCCACAATGTACGTTGAGGGACTACCAAGTCATTGTGGGAAAGCAAGGTTGAGTTGTATAAGAGGTGGGGATGGACAGAGGAAGCAATTGGTGAAGCATTTATGAAGAATCCTTTCTGTATGCTGATATCTGAGGGAAAAATTGAGGAGGGTTTTGACTTTTTTGTCAACCACTTGGGTTGGGACCCTCTTGCTCTTCTCACTTCTCCAGTGCTTCTCTCCCTCAGTTTGAAGAAAAGGATAATTCGCAGGGCTTCTATCTTGCAATTTCTTCTCTCCAGATATTTGATCAAGAGTGCCAAAATGAAAAACCCATATTATATTACTGAAAAGATGTTCCTTCAGCAGTATCATTACATTACCTATTTTTCTTAATTGCTTTGTTGGTCTTATTCTTTGGCGGGGCTTGAAGGCGAGTTTGAAGGAGCGCATTAATGATCATGATGGATGCCTTATGGTAACAATATTCTTTTGAAAATGTTGTTATTATTGTTTTTTATTATTTCAATTTATTAAATTAGTATCATAATTAATAAATTGTGTTAATATTTTAAAAATAATTTAGTTTATTATTAAATCTTTCAGTTATGTAATTAGTTTAAATTTCTTTGATTTATTATAAATGTATTATTGCTATTAAATAAAAATTAAGTTTTTTTTTTCATTTTTCTTACATTTCTGCATTTTTTTTTTATCTTTTTACAATAAAACTCGAAGGATCTTGATGCATGCTGACCAATAAAAGAAAACTTTTATTAACAATTAAGCTGAGAGTGTATTAATGATAAATTTTAATAAAAACTCCTTATGTTTTAGGGGGTAAAATTAATATTTTCTTAGAAGTAAAAGAACAAGAGTTTAAAATAAACTTTTTACATAGAAGATTAACAGTGTCACGATACCCTCCAAGATGAAACCCAAGATCACAAAGAGCAGGTTAAAAAGTAAAAGTTAGTCAAGTATGCCATGTTCAGCAATTTCTCTGCATATCCAATGAAGAATCTAAATAGCCATCAGCTAAACACCTATAGAACCAAGAGCTTGAGATCCCTCAAACATATTGGACACTTATGATTTATGACATTGAATTGCTGGCTAAATCACCTTCCTCAGCAGCTACTATCACTGTTGCATTGCTAACATTCCATCACTCAAACATGCCGTGTACAAATTAAAGGCAAGGCAATATGAGCACTAGTTATAGTATGTTGTGTGTGCCTTATTTTCCCAAATCATGGATGGGTTAAATTACTTGTCCAACTACATCCAGGTATCTTGATGATTTTCTTTCCTTCCACACCCGCTCTCAACTTCTTGGCATCATCCCATTTTCCAAGAGTAGCGTATATGCTAGAAAGAAGAGAACAATAACCTGCTATGTTACTCTCCAGCTTAATGCAATGCTGGACAGCTATTTCCCCAAGCTCCACATTATCATGTAATCTGCAGGCGAGAAGCAAAGCTCCCCAAACACCAGCATTTGGTTGTGTCGGCATATTTATGATAAGCTTATATGCTTCATCCAGATATCCTGCCCTTCCCAAAAGATCAACCATAATTCCATAATGATCAACCGAAGGCACAAGTCCATAGTCCTTCATGGAGTTGAAGTACTGGTAACCTTCTTCAACCAATCCAGCATGATTATAGGCAGTAAGGAGTCCAGTGTAGGTGACTAAATTAGGAGCAATAAGTTCTGCAAGCATCTGTTCAAATAACTTGATTGCATCAGAAGCCCTTCCATTTATTCCGCACCCATAGATCATTGCAGAATACGCAACCAAATCCCTCTTTCTCAGGCCATGGAATATCTCATATGCCTTGTTAATGTTTCCACACTTTGCATACAAGTCAATTAAAGCAGTAGCCAAATGATCATCCAACACAATTCCAAAGTCAGTCATGTGTGACTCAATCCAGCACCAATGTTCCAGATCCCACAGTTGCGAACATGCTGATATAACACTAGTCAAAGTCATTTTATCTGGATGTACATAGATATCCGGATTGAGCATATCCTTAAATAGTTCAAGGGCTTCCTTGGGTCTGCTATTTTGAGCATAACAAGCTATCATAGCATTATATGAGAGCAAATCTTTGTGATCCATCTGGTCAAAGAGCATACGTGCAGATTCAACATCCCCACTCTTTGCATACCCAGCAATCATTGTCATCCAAGAGACACTGTTTCGTCTGGGCATTACATCAAAAAATTCTCTTGCTGACATTATGCTTCCACAATCAATGTAACCAGCAACCATTGCATTCCATGAGGCCAGGTTTCTCTCTGGCATTTGCCGAAACAAAGAACAGGCATGATCCATATTTGCTGCTTTGGCATATCCAGAAACCATAGAGTTCCAAGATACGACATCCTTCCTGGGAATCTCATTGAAAAAATCTTGAGCCTCATCCAAGTTACCAGCTTTTAGATATCCAGATAACAAAGAATTCCAAGAAACCACACTTCTCTCAGTCATTTCATCGAACACCTTCCGAGCAGTCCCCATATCACCCATTTTGGAATATAAATAAACAAGGGCCGTTTGTACATAAACACACGCACTATATCCAAACACATGAGCTTGCCCATGAATTGATACACCAGCCAACTTGTCCTCAAGTCTACCACACGATTTGAGTGCAGAGGACATAGCACATGAAGTTGGACACAACCCCATCCCATGCATTTGAACATAGAGAGAAACAGCTTCTGTGAATAGACCCTTCTGAGAGAAGAATCTAATCACACAACCCCACGAGAAGGAATCTGGATTGGTCAGATGGAGAAGAATTAGGTGGGCATAGTGAGCCATAGTTTTGTAGTTAGTGATATCCCAGAGAAGGATATGATGTATGAAGTTGGGTTGAAGATGGGAAAGACCATTGATCAAGATGTGGGCATGGATTTGTTTTGCGTGATTCACAGTTGAACACTTGTTCATCAATGTCATCAATTTTGTAGCTACCATTTAAGCTTTTTCTATTTTGCGGTTTTCTCAAATTCTCAATGTAATCAACAAATAACGGTCTTTGAAAAAACCTCATTTGTTGCTGCAATGTATGCGGGAAGAAAAGAAGACTAAAGATAGATAAAGATAAGAAGAGTGATAGTGGTATAGGAGCAGTGGTGAAAGAAAAAGAAAGTAGAATATTGGTGATTAAATAAATAAGGAGATAAAGACATGGGTAAAGTGAGAGTAGAAAGAAGGAGAAAGGAGTTAAGCATGAAGTTGAGGGAAGAAAGAGTTAAAAAAGAAATAAAAGAGATAGATATGAGAAAAAGAATAAGGTTAAATATAGAAATTGAAGAGATAGCCTTGAGAAGAGAGTGAAGTATTGATGATTGAGTAAAGTAGATACAAGCATAAGAGAGGTAAGGTGAGAGTAAAAAGAAGAAGAAATAAGTTAGGCATGAGATGAAAGAAAGAGAGAGAGTTGAAAGAGAAATAGAAAAGTTAGATTTGAGAGAAAAAAGAAGATTGAATATAGTAGTTAAAGATGGTTGAACATAAACATTGAAAAGAGAGTGTTGAGCATGAGGAGAAAAAAAGAGAAGATTGAAAAAAAAAAAACGTAAAATTAGTTTAAATTAAAAAAGTTTGTTTAAGTTAATTTTGTATAAAGAAATTTAGTAATTTTTTATACTTTTGTTTAAGCAATTCTATTTTTGCTCAAGTGAAAATGAAACTGGATATTCAATTCTGCCTTAATTAAATTGGATTTGTGTTCCAAGAAAAGAGTCAAGAAATTTATTTTTCTTAAACAATGTATTACTGATATATTTTTATGATTTGGTTCATCCTCTGAATGAAAATTGGAAAAATCAAAGTCTTTCTAAAGTGCAAATTCCTATGTATTCAAGCGATGCCACTGTGTATCTCATTGTTATGCTTTCGTAGTCCTGAAGCTTTGTAAAGAAAGAAGAAATTGAGAAAAGAAAATCATAGCAGTAAATGCATGGATTAGTAGCCAAATGATGGTCACTTAATGTTTCTAGTGGATACATACAATTAAGTGATTAACAGATGATAGTATGGTAGTTATTTACATGTTATGTTTGACAATGGGATAATGTGGTTATGAAAAGGACAAAGATTGGGCTATTTCCACTGTGAAATGCTCATGATCAATTGAAGTTCTAACAAATGTTATAAGGGTTAAAACCATTTCCTTTTAATTTGTGTTATGCTGACATGACATGTGGGAAAGATGGAAATAGGATGTTGAACTAGCTTGCATTTCCACTCAGAGATGTGCATGGCTGTGTGAATTGCCATGTTTTAAAAAACATCATAAATCATATTTCTTCAGCATTTCCTTTGACCGGATATTCCCAACAACATTAACACATTTACTGGTAATTCAATTCAATTCTTATATTTTTACTCTTACTTTCTCTTGAGATTTGTTTAGACGGCGAAGGAGAAAAGCGATGGAAAAAAATATAGATTTTTTTTTTTTTGGAAATTTTGAATGTAGAAAAATAAAGAGAAGAAAATTCATTTTTTCATGTAAGGTTTTGCGAAAAAAAAAAGAGAGAGAATGGGGAATAGGGGAAGGGAATATTTAAATAATATTAATAATATATATATATATATATAATAATTGTTATAAATTATTTTTTAATATAATTTATTATTTTGTATTCAAAGTCATCCGAATTAATAAAGATATTCTTTTTACTTTTTATTTTTATTTTTACTCATTTGAACAACATTTTTTTTATTTCAATTTTTTCTTTGTTTTTTCATTTCATTTTTCACCCAAACGCGTGTTTACATTTATTTTTTATATTTATATATATATTTTAAATTTTCTCTCTCTTATATTTGTATCACATTTTTTATTTTTTCTCTATAAATATATGACACAATTATTGAAATTTTATTGATGTCATTAATTAGTGGGCCATCGACATCAAAATAGCAAGATTATTTCTTTAGTAATTAAAAAAAATAACTATTCAATTAAAATATAAATTTTAAGTATTATGAGTGTTGTTATTAATCAAAATTGAAATTTTATTTTAATAAATATTTATATTTAATACTTTCATCAATTATAAAGATAATATTTTAATTTTAATCAACAAATAATATAAATAGCATTTAAAAAATATACTTATTTTTTTTTAATTAAATAGTTACTTATTTTGAAATAATGATTGTAATGTCTTCCCATCTGTTAAAAAAGTAAAGCAAAAATATCTTTTTAAAAAACTTTCAAATATTGTAGACTATTGATTAAAAACAAATGGTAAAAAATGAATGACAATAAATGAGTTATTTAAGTTAGATTTATAAAATGATATATTGATAATTTTATATATATTTTTTTTCCTCTTCTTCTTCATTTTCTTGTTTTTTTTCCTCTTCTTCTTTGTTTTTCTTGTTCTCTTTCTCTTTTTATTATTTTTCTTTATCTTTTTGTTCTCTTCCTCTTCTTCTTTATCTTTCTCTTTCTATTATTTATTTTTTTATTTTTTTTATTTTTCATTTTCATCTCATAAATAATTTGTAAATGACAGAATTCTTTATCTAGAAAAATATAAAAAAACACTAAAAAATATAAAAGATTTTAGAATTTTGTTTGTTTTTCTTTCATCATCTTTCTCCTTTTATTTATCTTTTATTTTCATCTCATTGACACCATAAAAAATTTAGAAATGATAGAATTTTGTATACAAACAAATTAAAAAATCCCTTACAAATATGCCTTTTCAAAGCTGACGACGTTAAAAATAACATTTAACTTTTTTTTGTTAGAAAACTGATATAAAAAGTATGTTAAAAAAAATTACTACTTACTAATGTAGAAAGTTTTTTACATTAGTTCTCTCATAAAAACAATCTAAAAAGTAACATTTAAAAAAAGAAGATGCAAATTTAACATCAAAATCGATATAGAAAAATTCTAAGTGAAATATCTAATGATTATGATTCTAGATTATGCAAGAGAGAGAGAAGAAGCATTGTCTACATGCTAAAAAATCAAAAGCCTCAACTCCTGTACCAACACCGGCATAAGCTTTAGGACATGCATTAGCACTAGTTTATATTCTTTCTCGAGGGGACAATATTAATTAGGAAAACTTAACTTTGAGTAAAGTTTTGTTTGATTTCAAAGGTTTTTTTTAATATAAAATATATATCACTATCAAAGTTTAGTTTTATCCAATTAACTTCAATTTTAGAGTATCAATAAAAAAAACTGAAAATAAAAGAAATTGAAAGAAAAAGAAATAAATAAAAATGAAGAAGTTACAGAAAGAGAAAAAAAAGATAAAAATAATTTATCTATTTATCTTTCATTAACATGTTATTACCTAAAATAATTATATACTATTTTTTAAAAATATTTTTATCAATCAATCTTAATTATTTTCTATCTATAAATATCACCACCGGTTCAATATTGATTCTACTTTACTTATTAAAAAATATTATTTATGGAATCACCCAATTTGAAAATAAACATTAAATGCTTTTAAAAATGTTTAATATAATTCTTATTTTCTTAATGAACTTTGTTGGGAGAGAGACCGTAAGTATTTACGTTAAGTAGAAGAAAGGACAGTCGTGAAGTTTGGAAAGAATGCAGCTCTAATCATAGAACACCGACTTAGTACTGTAAATAATGTGTGTCTTTTAAATGTTGATTATAATTAAAATGTGTAAAGGATCTGCTTTTGTCTCTTATGATGGGGTCCCACAAAAGGGACACTGACTTGTGATAGGGTCTATGGCCCCATGCTTTCTCATCGACCAATTTCCGAGACACCTGACCCCACAAATGGTCACACATTTTTTTTATTAACCGTTTTATATATTCCGTGTTTAAACAATATATAATATAAATTCATTAAATAATATTTTTTTTATTAAACATATAATATTTAATACTATTATAACACTTAACTTTTGAGTTATGAATAATTCATTCTCAGATAATTGGGGTGGTGAAAATTCAAATCCATGTAAAGAGAGACCTTTAAAAGTCTCAGATTCAGTTATTGTGTTACTGATAAAAAACTCTACTGGATCGTTTGCTAAATCAAACATCAAAGCAAAGCAGTGTTATAAAACTTAGATATTAATTAAACTAATTAAATTGATATATAATAAATATTAAACGTTATACACATCGGTGATAGATTTTTGCATGCTGACAGGGGATATGATTAAAAGTTATTGTATTCAAACATGGTATATGACTTACAAAAAAGAAATAAAAATGGGAGAGATGTTAGATTTGATTGATAAGATTACATGGAAGAAGATTTTTCAATGATTGTATCCAAGTTTGGAAGGGAAATGTAGGGAGAATGCATTGATTGGCTTACTCGGCTGAACGGTAACTTGGAACGAAGCACTTTACTGTGGCGTAAGCCGTATCCAACCAAATCCTTAGTGTGCGGAGTGAAACAATGACCTGACACTGATACTGACAAGCGCTAACGTGCGCATCCTCTCTGTCTCTTTTCCCTATGTTCTGTCTCTCTGCATTACTCTTCACTCTCAACAACAAACTTGCATTTTCTTTCTTCTTTCATGTTCTTGTTCAGCTTGAAATTTAACCTTTCATCCCAACCCCAACCAACTCCCATTTTCCTTCTCCTTTTAGTAATCAGGGGTGTCTCTGTCTTTTCCTGTGACTCAGAGCTTTCTGCACTGTGAGCTTTCTACAGTGTGCGCTTTTCTTGTCCTTTTTCTTTTCTCCTCACTCTCGTCTCATGTTCCCAATCTGACTCCTACCCTTTTTTCTCGGCACAGAAAAGAAACCATTTTGCTACCATTTTCAGGATGATGTCATAATGTGCCTTCCCTTTCTGTGGTATTACTATTAGGGTTAGTCCCTTCCTTCTTCTCCACATTCACCTTCCAAGATGTTTAGCTTCTCTCGTCGCCGTATGAAACTTGGCAGGTAAATAAAACGAACCTTTCTTTTTTACTCTTCATTATTTGATTACATACATGCATGAATTGCAAGTTGGGGTGGAAGAAAGTGTGATGACATGTTTTTTCATTGGTATGTTAGATTGAAGGTTCAGATTTCTGAGGCCAATCAGGGAACTAGAACTCCTGTGAGACACCCCAAACGAAACGGAAACTCCAATGTAAGCTTTTTCAACTTCATTCTCTCTGGAATTGGAGAGTGCCATGAACTCTAAGTTGTGTGAGCTTGTTTCAGGGAGGAGAAGGAGATGCAGGGTCAAGTGGCCATTCTGATGAAATTGATTGCCAGCCTTCAACTGAGATAAGTGCTTGTGCCTCAGGCAGCTCAGAGAATTGGATGGTGTTGTCTATTGCAGGGGACAAGCCTACTCCTAGATCCAATGTCTGTAAACTCTGTAATGTTATGATTCTTCTGTTTGTTTTAGTTTTTGTTTGTGTGTCATTTTCTGGTACTGTAAATGTTGTTGGGTCACTGCTCATGTATAATGTTGGTTATGGTACCAGACTGAACTGTTGTTATTATTGTGCATTGTGAATAGCATGCAGCAGCTGTCATTGGGAATAAGATGATAGTGGTAGGAGGCGAGTCTGGGACTGGATTGTTGGATGATGTTCAGGTATGAGCGGGGGATTGTGCTGAGAATTTGAGCATCAACATTAACTACTAGTTAGTTGCTTGCTGGTTCATCTCAATAACTGAGTGCTATTCATTTCTGTTGTCAGGTGCTAAATTTTGACAGGTTTTCGTGGACTACAGCATCGTCAAAGCTTTACCTGTCGCCGAGCAGTTTGCCGCTGAAGATTCCAGCATGCAAGGGTCATAGTTTGGTAAATATATCCTGATTATTAGCAACATATTCTCATTCTCAGTACACTGGCATTTTGATAAAGTTCTATTTTAGTGTTCTTGAGAATGCTCTCCTCTTCTATTTTCATTATCACATTTGGCATTGCTTCATTGTGCAGAACATGGAATAACGTGTCTCTAAATGTGTCATGAAATTGAATTTCTCTAAAAAGTAGAAAAAGCAAACCGCAGGTCTCTGTGGCAAGCCCTTGCATGCCCAAGCACACTGTTCATCAGTAAATTATGGCTGCCATGAATGTTTTGCTTAATGATATGATCAATTAGATCTAATTGCATGACCACCTTCGATCGAGTGAGGCTAGGAGAGGAACTAGAAATATAAGTTTGGAATTGTCAAGACCAAATTAATTAAATATGATATGAAAAAGATGGGGCCTTGAACTTTGGAGATTAAGATCATAAAAAGAGATATAAGAGAAAAAAAGAGAGGATAAAACACTATTTTCCTATATTAAGAAAAGGAAAATCATACTTCAAAGTAGTAAATAGAAACTTGACAGCGAGGAACATGAAAGGTACCTGTACCTGGGATACTTACTTGACTACTGCAATTACTCCTATACTTGAGCTTTGCATCCATCCAATGTATAAATAAAGTGTTTTTGCCTTGAACAGCCTTTTCTTTTAAATTTTTTATTAATGATGATGTGTGCCCGGTCTCAATTCTCTTTCACTTGGCAATGAATTGACAAGGTTTCCTGGGGTAAGAAGGCACTCCTCATTGGAGGGAAAACGGACCCAGGAAGTGACAAAATATCAGGTTCAATTTCATGTTCTCTTCATTTAATAATTCTGTTTAGTTTAACTTTGTCAGATTATTCTGAGTATATTTTTGGTGTTTGTATAGTATGGGCATTTGATACAGAGACAGAGTGCTGGTCACTCATGGAGGCAAAGGGAGACATACCGGTAGGAAATCGATTTCACTTCATAACTATGCAAATGCTGCAGTGATAGAAATTGTTGTTGTGCATTGTCTTTATTGATGTATGGAACCGAATGGTAGGAATTGTAATACTGTATTACATATTCTGCTCCATCATATTAGTAAATTGTGGTAATCATTATTGACTAATTAAATGTCAAAAAATTAAACTAGGTTATTAATTATGATTGAGAACTGCCCAGTGGATGGACAACTTTATATCTTATTCAAATTGATATTTTTCTCACGTGACAAGCTCACAAGCATTAATGCTCATATTATATTGAAGTTCTGCTAGCTACATTATCAGGAGGTCAAGAGCATAAACAATTGCTGAGAAATGATATAGAAATGAAAATCTGTAATTACACATTTAGCAGAACTATAGCATATCCTTTATTTTATTTAATCGAACTCTCTATGATGTGGACTCTGCCGGCTTGAGTCTTATATCATTAACCTACATGCAGTACTAACCAAAGTGTTTGTTCTTTGCAGGTTGCTCGCAGTGGTCACAGTGTTGTTAGAGCAAGCTCTGTTTTAATATTGTTTGGTGGTGAGGATGCAAAAAGGAGGAAATTGAATGATCTACACATGTTTGATCTCAAGTCTTTGACATGGCTTCCACTTCACTACACGTAAGTGATAAACAGAAAAGGAAACTTGTAAAGAAAAGGTTGGACTTAATGTGATTATCTAGTCATAATCACCTAATATAATAATGTAATGTTGCTTTTGAAATTATCTTACTTTCAGGGGAACAGCACCTACTCCAAGATTCAACCATGTAGCTGCTCTTTATGATGATAAAGTTCTTTATATATTTGGAGGATCATCAAAATCCAGGTCCTTAAATGATTTGTATTCACTTGACTTCGAAACGGTGAGTGGGCTCTGTAGGTCTCAAATATGTCTATAGTCTATCTTGATTTCTCCAGTGAAGATTAAATCTTCATCCACCTTATATTCTGATAAAAAAAATATGTTTCTTCAGATGGCATGGTCAAGAGTAAAGATACGAGGTTTTCATCCATCACCTAGAGCTGGCTGTTGTGGTGTCCTATGTGGTACTAAATGGTATATTACTGGGGGTGGAAGCAGGAAAAAACGTATGTTTTATAATGGAAGAAGCATTTGTTCATAGTATTAAACCTACTATTCTTTTCTTTGTTTTGAACTTCTGCTCTGCTATGATTTAACTTTGGAGTAATCATACTTATATATTACTCTTGCCTTTCCTTTGTAGTGTTATGCTGTTCATTGTATATACTTTGTTAGCATGTCTCATGTTTTCAGGTTTATTGGGCTATTTTAATTTGGGGCTTTGAGACTGAAGAAACAATACTTTTATTGGGAAAAATATGACAGGGTAGTGAATTCTGAATATAAGGAAAGAAGGGAAAATATATTATACATTAATAAACTTGACGCAATGATTTGGCTCCTTACTCAATGATCTAGCAGAAGTTATGTGCGTTATGTTAGCAGGGGAGCAAATAATGTTAAAGTTGTTTTAATCGTAGAGTATTGATGCTTTTTTATGCATTAAGTAATGGTCTTTACATTATTTCACACTTCCTCTTTAAACTTGATTATTTAATTTGTTTTCAAATATTCTTTTTTTCCTTGGCTTTCCAGGACATGGAGAGACTCTGATTTTTGATATTGTTAAAAATGAATGGTCTATGGCAATTGCTTCACCTCCATCTTCTATCACTACCAACAAGGTATGCTTATCATTCATCTGCTATCACCTACTGGCCTAATTTTTTGCAACTTTTGTTTCTTTTATGATTTAATTAAAATTTTATTAAATAAATAATAACTAATAATTAAACAATTATAATTTGATGATTCTATTTCATTGGCGAAAGGCCTTTGGAACTTCAAATATAACTTTTGGTTAAGTTGTTTCTTCATTGTGATATAGTAGTGTTGAATTTTCTTCATAGGTTCAGCTTTACCTTTTTCACTAAAATTTTGGTGTTAAGGGATGGAACTGAATTTATGAGACCACTATGTTGCATAATGGTTGAATGTGAGACTTCATTCGAAATGTTTAATCATGATGAAATCCCTGGCTGTGATTATTTTCCCTCAGTTATTAATATGATATTTTCATTGACAATTTCAACCTATGAGATTTTAAATTGAATCAATTCATTATTAAGCAGCTCCTTGCTAATAGCATTGTTACTTCTAGATCCCTTATATTTGGTATGCATGTTTTCTTTATGAATTAAATCCGTGTAAGATGTGTTACATTACCAGGGCTTCAGCATGGTACTCGTGCAGCACAAGGAAAAGGACTTTCTTGTTGCATTTGGGGGATCCAAAAAAGAGCCATCAAATCAGGTTTAACAACAAATATGAAGTTAATATTTGATTTCTTTAACAAAAAATAAGAAGTTAATATTTGATAAACTTTTTTCATCTTGACCTAACAGGTAGAAGTGTTGATCATGGAAAAGAATGAATCAACACTGGGAAGACGATCAACTCCCAGTAAATGTTCAGCATCTATACTACTTGAGAAACATTCATCATCCACTAGATTGGCCTCCCAACTAAATGATTGTTCCCAACGTTTAGTTGAATCAGTTGCTAGACAAAATCTAGCTTCTGCAATTGAGCATGGTTCTGGAAGGAAATCTCTGTCAGAATCTCTAGTTGCTGATCCCAATTTTCCCCCCACCAACACCTCCCTTCGTAAGCAATTTGATCATGATGAAGAATACCATACAGATGTCAAGATGGACAAGAATTCCGATGGAAGTTCTTTCCCGAGGGTAAAACACATATGTATATATATCTTTTTATTAATAACCCTTGTTCTAATATAAAAACACTTGTTGGACACCTCAAAGGGTTGGATACTTTTCAAATGTGTTTTTAAAAGCATGATGGACCTACCTTAGGCGTTCACCTGATGCATATCTTAAGAGTTGTTGGCATCCTGTTTCAACAATCATAAATATAAAAATAAACATAAATGAGGATTTGTTTATGGTATGTATATGTCATAAAGATTGTGGGGATTTTATTAATCTTCCATTATCAACATGATGTTTTGATTTGCAAACTTTTCAGGCCGCAGATCACAGAACAAATGAAAATGACCACGGTAAACAAATGAACATTAGTGGAGCCAAGATCAATATGGAGGAACACCAGCAAAACCTAGTATTTGAAAATGACATGTCAGAAAGTGATAACGTGTCATTTCCTGAAAATAAATCAGGATCACTGTCTACTTCAAATGTCTATCACTACTATGAAAGTAAAGTGGCTTCCCTAATAAGGAAAAATGGAATTCTGGAGGGACAATTGGCGGCTTCCCTGGCGAGCAAAGAAGCTACAGAGAAAAGCTTGGCATCTGTTCTTAAAAGTAGGCAGGAAATGGAGAGAAAATTAGCGGATGCACTGAAGGAGATGGAATTAATGAGAGAGAAGCTGGCCGGTCTAGAGTTGGCCCAGGAAGAGGCCAACAACCTATCAAACATCGTCCACTCTGACAATGTAAGACTCGAGCATGATGTGGCCTTCCTGAAGGCTGTTTTAGATGATACACAGAAGGTACATACATGACACTTAATTTGATAGAAACACTAGGATACTTGTACATATGTTTATTATTGGCGGATTAAATTTTGTTGTAGGAATTGCACTCAACAAGAGGAGTTATTGCAGGAGAAAGAGCTAGGGCTTTCCAACTACAGGTATATCTTTTATTACTTGGTAATCTTTGGCTTTAGCTGATCTCTTGGTGATTTTATATGTCAAACCTCAAATTGAGGATTCTGATATGCTGATTGTGTTCAGTTTCTTGATGCTATTTAATGTTTCCACTTATCTGTGTTGCTTTACAATGTTTTGACCAAACTTCCTTGGACTCGTAATATCTTTGTTGGGTATTGTGCAGTACGAGGTTTTTCATCTCAAACAGAGATTGCAATCAATGGAAAGTCGAGCATCAACTACACCCAGGAAACCGTTTCATGTGCAGTGAGGTGGATGGTCGAAGTAACTCACCACTTAAAGACTTGAAATAAAAAAGGAAAATAAAATGGATTTGTACATATATTTGAATCACTGAATCACCATACAAGTACTGCTGCTTCTTTTTTTGCCATTTTGTCATTATTGGAAGCACTTTTTGAGTGTGTGTCTGGAATGTGTATTCTTAATAATTCGGTGCGTGAGGTCGAGCTCAAATTTCGTATAAATCTCGTATGTTTAGCAAAGTATAATCCTGATTTTGTCTGCTCATGAAAGATAATCTTTTTATAAACTGTCAAATTCAAGAAAATGGATAGGAATTAATAAATGTCGGTGAGAAACTAGGAGAACCTTGTAGAGAAATGAAATTGCTCGCATTATTAATATCTGAGACAAGATTAAGAGGGAGAAGAATATCTGTGGTTTTCTATTGATTACATAACTGCGAAAGCTTTTTAAGGAAAAATGTGTCAAATTTACAAGAAAAGAAGATAAAGGTTTTAGAGTAATAAAATATTGAATAACTACAATAATGATTACTTAATAAGAGATGAAGAATACATGATATGATAGAAGGGAGGAGGTAAAGGAGCCATAGATAAGCAAAAATAGTCACGGTGAAGATAATGTTCACTTGTGTGTTGAAATGGCAACTTAAGACACACTTCAAAAATTATATATTATAAATATAATTAGAGTTTCCTAATAGCCATTAGACTTCAATCTTTAAATTAGATATAGACTTGTATGTGCCTTTTAATTTTTAAGTAAAATTAATAATAATATATAATATCATTTTTAGATATTTAAAATCAGTTTTAAAGGTTAACATTAATAAAATTGAAAAAATTATGACACATGTAAATTTGGTTTTGTGATATTAAGAATATTATTTGAATTGTTAGCTGTAATAATTTCAATTAAATTTTTTACTTTCAACTCTCTTGCCGGATAAACTTGCATATGACAAACTTCTTTTATTTTTGGGCCGTCCTATGACAATCTTTTTCTGTTAAAAGTGCATGCAAGATTATGTTGATAGCATTATTCGCTCAATAATTAATTAAGCTCATGTAAAACACTTTTCGTTTAAGCCTATATTTTAAGTCCTTCGCCTAAAATTTATCATAACTACATGAACAACAAATTGTCAAGGTTTCCAACAATCAGTTACACTATAAATCAATAGATTAAAATTGACCTTCTATTTAGACGAAGAAAGTAACTGATTACAACATAGACGTAGTTAATTGGTATGAGCTGGATGAGGTGCAGTGAAACAGAGAGATAGAGACATAATATAAAGAGAAGAGACAGAGAGAGGATGCGCACGTTAGCGGTAAGCACAGTGTGAGGTCATTGTTTGGCCCCGCATAACAAGGAGAGGTTATTGCTGTTTGGAAGTTTGTGGTGAATGGCCTCAAATATTGCTGATCCTTGGAATAATACTCTTCATGGATATAAACTATATCACTTTAAACTTACTTTTAAATCAAATAAATTTTATTCAAACTTACGTTTAGAAATACTCATCTAAATACATAATGTGTTTGCTTCTCCGTTTATATGCATGTTGATACGTGCAAAGAGAAAAGCATGTCCCTTGCTTCTGGAAAAATGTGCGTTTAAAGTTGTTCCAGAAAAATAAAGATGCATTTAGTGTGTGTTTGAACGAGGCTGGTAAATTTAGTGATTTTGTAAGATCCATGCCATGACGTGTCGTCACCAGTAAGGTTGAAGCTAACACAAAAAGGGTTTGGCAATAGCAAAATTCAATCAAGCAAAGTTTTAGGTAATAATATTGATAGGTCATAATTTATTAAGTTTCTTTTTAACCAGTTGCACGTAAGTATATTATTATTATTATTATTATTATTTGACTAATAAGTATGTAGATGTCATAAATGTATCACTATCACGCATATGGATTTAGTGCTGTGAGACCAGATGTTTTGGCAACTGTATTTTATACAGAATAATAAGGAGATAAGAAAGGAGATGAGGCGAAAACTTCTCACTTTAATTAATTTGAAACTGGTTGTCTACGTAATAACATATGCTCTGCACATGTCCCTACAAATTTCAATTAGTATCAGTATACAAATTTAAAAAAACATATAAAACACAAAAAAGTATTTGAAGTATTTAAATAATATTTTATATAGATAGATATATTACTGACACCATTATTTAAATAATATTTTATTTAGAAGTGTTTGGACTTCTTAAAATGCATGCAGTAGGCATTATCATGAATATGATGTATTATTTATCGAGTGTGGATTATATTTGTATGTCTTGAACTAAAAGGTCTTGGAGGTTAAGGGACATATAAAGCACACATTTTTTAAGTTCAAAAACAATGGTCATGAGAATTATATTTGCTTATCCTTTAAGGGTATATAACTTACTGCTGATAATCAAGTAGCAGAAAACAAGCACTTTTAACTGCAGGGGAGAGGGAAACTCTAAAATTGAAATTTCATGCCTGTTTTAATAATGTGTTTTTTTTTTTTGGTTACAGAACACAAAATTTTATAAAATATTAATTTCAATACAAACACAGTTCATTATTTGGAAAAAAGCCAATTGGGATGACTAGGTGAAAAGGCATGAACAAAATAAGGTTTATAACTTGATCAACCCAATTTCATTATTATCTTTTCCATAGAAATAATATATATTCACTAGATAACAATTTTTTCATATTGATTGTTTTCTAACATAATTCGGGGAAACAAACAGTGTTGGAGGTGCTCCAACAGTCTCCATCATGTTCATTCTCAAACTACATTTTTTATCTACGAGGCCAGCTTTCTCCTATTAGTCTATTTAAACTCCATGATATGCTCCACTTGTTTTCTTTCCCCCTTTTGTCTTTAAGTTATGGATCTAAATATTTTATGATGTGATCAAAGGGAATCACATTACTCATATGTCGAATTCACTTGTAGCATTGTGCATTTGTCCCCTATCTACTAAGTGCTAGAACAAGACACCGCTTGTAGCCGAATCCCATGCGCTAATATTTTTGTCTTATAAATATTCCACTTTTAGCAACTAGGATTTTGTTCTGTGTTGTTTTTTAATTATATCTTAAAGCAATTAATTGTAATTCCAGTATAGTATTATTCTTTAATTAACAATTTTGCAAGCACCCTGATTCAGAGACGTGACTCCGGCTTATATTTATTTGATTTCTTTCTTTAACCTGAAAAGGAAAAAATGGGGTTGAAGGAAGGACTAGAATCCAATTTTTAACTAGTACGATCGTTGCATAGCATATCTTACAAAAAGTAGCAACACCATTAACATATTATCCTATGTATTTGAGTTATAATATTATTTATATATACACTTTTTATAACATCATATTTGCTCTTTATTTCTTTCTTTATATCAACCATCTTATCTCATATTTTTTCTTCTCTTTTTATTGTATAATTAATTTTGGATAGAATACATGTACAAATACATTATGAGAATGAAATTCTCGAAAGTATCATTTCACGAATGCGTACCCAGAATTGATGGCTAGGTAACCTGTGATAGTTTTCAGAATGCTCTTCTGTTGTTTTCAGTTCCTTTCTTTCTTTTTCCTTTTGCTCTTAAGGCTGCGGGTTAGAGTCTACTTTCAATTGAAATTAGTATTATGAATATGCTGACAAATCATTACTATTAACCCGATGCTTATCAAATCTGTAAAACTTTATGTAGTCTGCAACTGCATCTAATTATTATAATTAACAAAAAGGTATATAACATTACATTTAACCCCCCAAAACAAGGCTAATACTACACCTCGATCAGTTAAGTTAGCCTTATTATTACATAGCTAGTGCCATAACTCTCTATATATACTAATAACATGGATATATATTTTCCTGATTATATATATCCTGCCCCTATATGTATATATATATATATATAACCAAAACATGTTTATTAGAGACTGAGAAGGGTCAAGAATTATATATTCTTGATTAATCAAACCCAAAGAGCTCCTGCTTTCTTAAGCATTGGAATCAAGGAGCGATTAAGGTGAAGACTCATCACTTCATTGGCTCCACCCACAAGCTCACCACCAATGAACACTGCAGGCACAGAAGGACTACAACCAAGCCTTGAAAGAGCTTGCTCAATGTCTCTGCCTCTTGGTATCTCATCAAGTTCATGAACAGCTGGATTCACCCCAAAGTCACAGAAGAGGGTCTTGATGGTGTGACTCATGCAGCATGAGCTCTTGCTGAAAATCACCACTGGCCTCTCTGATACCATCTTTGTCACCCTATCCATTGTGCTGTTGTCAAAAAAGCCAACCCCACAAATACTTTTATTGTTTTTCTTTTGGTCAGCAAATACCTTTAGTTAAAGGATGCAACAATGCCAAACGGGTTGAATGCAGATTTGGAAGCTGAAAATGGAAAAGCTAGTTTGCAAATGAGAGTAAGGAAATGTAGGAAAGTGAGGAATTAATGTTGTATTGAGATTTTGGTGTGAGGTGTGCTTGAGGTTGGGGTAAATATGGCATGCTTATATAGGGGTTTGAGGGAGGTACGGTTTGCTGTGGTGGATTGGCATCGCTAAGCAAAGAAAAAGATAGGGTGGCTAAGGAGAAAAGTGGAGAATCATCGATGAGATATTTGGGTCGGTTTCGAAATTTTATTTGATCATTTGTTGAAAGTGATTGATCCAAACCTTCCTTTTACTACAAACGAATCTCTCTATCCATGCATGCATACGGAAAACAATTAGACGAGTCCTTGGTACGGCTTCAAAATAACTTTTTATGCATATATCCCTTCATAATAGTTACTTTTGTTTCATGCACTGTGATTTGATTCTGGGGACGAAATCAACAGTTTTCGTGTTTTGTTTGTGCACGATTAATATTGCATATATACGACTCCCAGTTTGGGAGAATCGAAAACTACTGCTATTGTGGAATAGGAAGGAAAGCCTTGGAGCCATTAGATAAATTAATTAAGTTGTTTTATTTAATTAATTAATTTCCCAATCATGCTAATAATAATAACAGTAATCAAGGGTCTACATATAGTAGATCTTGCATTTTCCGTGACCAATGACATATAAATATAATTATAACTTTTTTTAATTATTATTTGTGAGTTTCTGCCTTATCTATCCTTGAGGCATCTGCTGCGTTGGAAAAAAAAGTTGAATTTATCCAATTGGGACCTCTTTTTTGCTATTAAGATTCGCATCCAATTCTAGAAAGGGAAATATGATTGAAGCTGTACATCAAGAGTTGAAATTAGTGAAAATTAAATATTTGTGGCAGCTAGACAGGTATAATAATAATAATAATGTGACATCTTACGCTGATGTTATATATAATTTTCTTTTAGTGATAACACTTTTTTTTTTTACGATATTCATTTATTTAACAATGTTATTAACTAACTAAATATATCTACATTGTTTTGCTGAAAAAAAATGTTTATACAGTTATTGTCAACGACTGTAATCTTTGAGAAGTAAATAGAGCAAAATAATGTTAATTATTTTTATCGAATTGAATATTTTTAAAGCTAGACTATAGGGTCAGGCTTTGACAATTCAAGGATTGAGCGTCTGGATCATAATAATTAATAGGTTGTTTATCTTAGCTTCAAATTTGCTTTAAAATGAGGACGAGTTAAAATTGATTCTTAATTGAATAGAATTAATTAATTTTAAGTGTAAGATCTACAATTTAAAATTAGTTCTCTAAACTCACTTATAAAATACAATTCTTTAATCGTTTGTATTTTTACATCAAAGTTTCTGTCTTTTTTACGTGAAAGATACAAGTCCTTTCTTCGTCTTTCTAGCACCTTCCGTTCCATGTCATGAAAGCTAAAATATGAGGGTTTAATTTTGATGTGTACAGTCTTTGAAAATAACGTTATTTCTTGTTTTTTAAATTATTCTCAATTAAATAAGTACATTAAAAAAAGGAGACGATTAAATTTTTTTAAGGAAAAAACACAGAAAAATATTTTTTTAAATATTATTTAAAACGGTCTTAAAAACTTGTATTAAGTTATCAATTTAATGTGCCATTCTTGCTAATAACTAGTTTAGTAGTTGATATACAATACACTGATATTTTATTTTAAAATAAATATACATATAATTTAATAATTAAAGAATAAAATTTTATATTTTATAAATAACTATGTTTATATAATAAAATTAATTTAAAAAATATTTTAATTTAATTCTATAATTATAAAGAGTTACATAAAAATAATAAATATTTAATACAATTAATTGATTTTAAAATATAAACTATTTTAAAATATTATTTTTATTATATAGTGTTAAAAATTAATTAAATATCAATAATTAATATATATTAATAATAATAAATTTAAGATATAAGACTTTTAAAAGTAAAGTCTAAATTTAAAAAAATAAAAAATTAAGATAATTTTTATAAATATAAAAATACTTATTTATGAAAAATATAAAAAAATCATGTAAAATAATACGAAAAAATTGAGGGACAATTTTAATCTCTAAAATTTAAAATAGTATAGCAAAGATGTGAGTATAAGTTATTCTTACTTATAAGTTTTAATTTAAAAATATACATGTGACGAAATATAAAAAAAAAAATATTAGTATTTTACAGAGGTTTTTTAAAATTGTTGTCAATTTATTTTTAATACATTGCAACTGTAAGACACAAATCTTCGCATTGATTTAATTTGCAAGTTCCATATTTTGTTCATATACGTGTTACTCTGTATACAATTTAAACAGATTAATAACAGTAATACATATACATAAAAATATAAGTTACTATGAATAAAATAATACAATTAAGAATTTTATATTTTAAATCGTTAATTTGAAAATTTTTCATAATATTGTTATTAAGATTTGTATCAATATAAAAAATTGATATTTCAACCCACTTAAAAGTAGCTAAAATATGTCATTTATGTCTATGAGAGCTACACAACTTAATCACTATTAAACTATGAAATATTAATTTATTTCCATTCTACTAGTTTTTTTTTTAGTTCATCAGAATCACACTAGCTACTACTAGTTAATATTGATTGATCTAATTCTTAATACTCTATTATTTTTTGTCACATACCCCGTAATTAAGGAAATGTGTTCGCATCCTTATGTGGACCAATTAAGCATTATTAATATTTTTGTACAGTGTTTAATTTTTAAATAATATTATTTTAACAATCAATTTGGATGTCTACAGGAGATATATCATTCAATTTGCAGTATACAATTTATCTGTAGCAAAAATCTTCCACATTATTATATCACAACAAATTCAAATTCATCAATAGCGGTTTTAATTTGCAGTTGCATGATTATTTCTTAGAAAAATTGCAAAGAATAGTCACTGTGCATCACAATTCCAATCTGACATGGTTGTAGATTCCAATGAGTTATATTATTCATATGATAATTTTTTTCAATTCTTTTCTATCATGTCAATCACCTTATTCTGCATTTTTTTTGCTGTACAAAAAATTGTAAACTAGTTATGCAAATACATTTTTTTTTTATATTTCAACGTTGGGGCCACTGACGCAGATTTACAACCGGAAGGGAATTACTGCTAAATGAATTATCCAATAAATTTTATTGCAACAACAATAGAACTTTTTTGAACTTGTACGTCGTATGAGGACGAAAAATGTTCTGGGAAATTTCTAGATAATGCATGCATGCAGCATGCTTGGTTGTCACTAAAGGAATCTTAGTGGTGCAAGTGATGTTCACGTCTAAACTACGAGTGTTTCGCTTTTACATATACCCTCATGCGTTTGTCTAGTCTCACATGGCGCCACGTTTTGTTGCGATAGCAACTTGATCCACACCCAAAAAAAGATTGCAAATGCGCACAGCATATCTATGTAGAGGGTTCCTCCCCCACAGATTTAAGGGTACTTGAATTTGTCTCAAAACCCATAAACCGGCTCTACGTAGAAGCCAAGGGCCACTTCTTCTTATCAATTTTGGTTCATGTGATCCTACGTAACGTGCATGCTCATCACGTACTTATAGAGCATATACAACAATATTTTCATGCATGCCTGGGAGCATTTGCAGAACAAAGCTCATAGGCATGTGTTATATCCATGCAAATTTCACCTGGATACTTAAATTAGATGGCTTAAGTCATTATTATCATTATTATTACGACTTCTCAATTATCATAATAAAAAAAGCTCCTTGAGGTTATGTAATCATGCCAGCTTCATACATCCATGCACAAATTAACTAAACATTGTAAATTAGATAAAATAGAGAAAATGGAGACTGCTGCAGCTAGCCTGTCGATAACAACCATCACGATAGCACATCTTGATATGTATCAGCAGTTGTTTTTGTACAGTTTGGTGATTATGGTATATATGGTAAATGTAATGTATGACTATATCATCATGTATAGAGCTAGCATACATACATCATAGATAGAGAAGAGAAAGGGATACTCGCATGTATATGTGAGAAAAGAGAAGAAAGATGGAGGACGAGTAATGTTGACTTTATAAGATGAAAAAAGATTTTAAGAAAAAAAATGCAATGACGGGTCTCGAAAATAGAATTTTAATTTCAGAGTTGAAGTACAAACTGTACAAATTGCTATTTTATTAAGGATGATATAACTGTATGTGATATATATTCGATCTTCTTCTCGACAGAGGAAAAGAAAAGGACCAAATCGAGGAACCATCTTATAAAAAAAAAATCTAAAAGAACCAATTAAGTTATATAATATATGCCCTTTTGCCTTTGCTATTGCCTATTGCTTTTTAAGATACGAGACAAAGAGAATTGAATAGCTTAGCCTCTCGCGAAGTATCCAAAACCCTCCAAAAAGCACAATCGAAAGGGAAAATTCTCTCATTTTGTTTTATTTTTTGCGTGGGGAATAAAATATATCGATGAACATATATACACACACCTCTGTTTAATAATTTACTTTTTTCCATTTATAATATTGATTTATTCCCTAATTATAACAAAAAAAAATATTCCGAGATTTTATTAAGATTGCCTGCCTATGATTCCCACGAGCATCATGATTTGTCTTTGATTGCGGCAGGGCATATATCTTCAGTTGAAAGAACTGGTAACTGATGCCGAATGCCGACCTTAATCCACAAGCATGGTTTTAACACATTCACATAGGTTGTTGAAATATCATCTGCGGATTATTTCATATCATCACTCTCACTTTTATTTTTACGAGAATTATGTATATTTTTCACATGTATATCTTTTATAAGAAGTCATCTATCAAGACATATTTGAACATTTAATGTGTTTATTTAAGATTTTATAAAAAAAACTAAAATCAAAACAAGAAAAATCAAATATCTGAGATATTTGAGTAACTTCTAAAAAAAGTAATTATAATTACGTACCTTTAAAAGAAAAATAGTTTTAATTATAAATAACTGAAAAAAAAAACACTTATGTCTTTCATAAAATCTCTAAAAAATGAATTAAAAATATATCAAACGCTGCTTTATAGTTCTAGTTACTATTTGGCAGATTGTGTGTGTGTGTGTGTGTGTGAGGGAGAGAAAAATATAGTTTTTTTTGTTTGGTCTAATGTGAAATATAGTATAGCTAATAAATCTTCTGGTGCAGAGCAATTATCTCTCTATTACATTATCTAATGGCGTAAAACCTTATGTAAATTTGGCTGCACACAGTTTGGATTCAATATCTTAAAAATTCAACTGGCTAGACATTTTAAGTCCTATTTTATTGATTCATGCCACAAAGAATCTGTTTTTTCAACACCGTACCCCCGTAAAAGTGAAGATAAAACACGGCACGGGATGAGGATTAACGCATGATAAATTACTAATTGTACTTGACAGCAATCTCTGCAGAAAACCTGGTCTATCACTGTACAAAAAATGGTCTAATTATATTAATTGGCTGTCTTATTACAAACTATTTTCTTTTAAAGTTAAAAAAAATAATACTTTTATATCTAACAAAAATATTTTTTTTAATATAAATGTAGTTCATATTAATTTATAAATACAGTTTAATTACATTTAACAATTTAAAATTAGTTCTATCAAAGTATAAACTAAACGAGCGCTATATATAAACATTAATTAACTTTATATGAAGTAAACTGAAAAATAATAACTAAAGGATGAAGGATGGTATATTTATCAATAGAATAACAAATTATTTAGGGATAAATCTTACAAATTCAATGTTGTTAAAACTTGTTGATATATATATATTCCAATAAAAACTAGCAAGTTGTCGTGTGGAGAGTTGACTTTCAGATAAATAAGTTCTCAATATATGCATGAGTGCATCCTAAAATTGATTTGATTACACACTTGGGAAGATTGCAGTTAGGGATAGATAGCACTTTAGTTATTCTATAATTAATTAATGACAAAATTAAGTTGGTCACGCTGACGCTTCAATTGTTTTTAACGCGAATTCCACACAAGATTATGCAGTAGAGAATGACGGAATGACCCAAGCAATGGTTACCATATTCTGATTTTCTGAGTGTAGATTTGCTGATAAGATGGGATTTGATTGCAAACCTCTGACCAGTTGAAATGGTTATATAATATGGCTCGTAATCTTTAAAATGGGATGTGATATGATAGTATTTGATGCATGGTAGCAGCGTACATTCGTCTTATTCTTTTTTTTTTTGGGTGCAATGTCTTATTCCATGTTTTTCTTAATAGAAACGTGCATTCATTTATGCATACGCAATTGACAGTCACTAACTAGTGAGAACTTGTTCTTTGTTACGTGATTTACTTATTATTTTCAAATAACGCTAAAATCAGTAGTTATGTAAATCAGATAATTATCAGATTATTCTAAAACATACCACTAAGAACAAACATTCCATGATCAATTAGAAATGTAGAACGAAAGACTAAACTTTGCAGCAGTTTGTGCTTGGGCGGCAAACGGCAAATTAATCGAAGACAACTGAGAGTCAATTCATTTGTTTCTTCTATTTGGTAGCACTTGTTTTGACATCTTTAATCTTAAGAATTAATTTAAAGAATTTAAAGTTAATTAAATTTATTTTTGTGTTTAATTAAAAAATTTATTAAAGTACATTGAAAATCATTTTGATAAGTTATACTAAAAATTTTATTAACATAAGATAAAAAAATTATAAGATTTCTAAGTTATTTTTATACATTTTTCATAAATTTATACACCCATTATTTTATAATATTTTTAGTTTAAAAATTAATTAAGTTCAAATAATTAAATAGTATGTTCTTAGAAAGTGAGATTTTGAAATATAAAAAAGGAAAAACCCTTAAAATTATAATGCTTAAAGCTTTTTTATTTTTTATTTAAAAAATTTGCTTGTATTTTGTAGAAATTTTGTAGAATTATGTTTGGCTTAACATTTCTTTTAAAAAATGGAAATAAATTGGATCAAATAGCTTACTTTTTATTCATTTATTAAAATTAATGTTATTTAAAACGTTGATAATTAAGAGAAAGATGTTATTGCTTTAAGAGGAAAGGGATTAGTCTTTAATCAATAATATAAAATACCCTTAATAAAAAATAGTTTTTAATATATTTTTATTAGAAACACGAGAATAAATCAGATAAATATGATAAGTAATATAAATAAATTCACATAAAAATCTTCATCTTGCCTAACTGTATTGAATCCCAATGATTTGAATCCATGTGGGGTAAACTTAATTTACTTTTATACTGATTAAAAATATATTATTTTTGTTACTATTTATTTACTAAAAAGAAGAAAATATATTATTGGAAGTTGTTAACATAAGCATACGTAATAAGTTTTTTTTTAAATATTTAATACAATTATATTAAATAAAATATGATCTCAAAATCACAAATTAAGTAACAACAATTTTTCTAATTAATTTGCATACTTGATAATAATTATAAATTATCACATAAGTAAAACTTGTTAATTTTTTAATAATTTATATAAATTTTATCAATGATTTTTTATATAGCATAAACATTTTTATTAAAGATAATTTTATTTTAATCAAATAGAATTATTATAAACGACAAATCTCTCCTCAAGCATTTAATATAATTATATTAATTGATATTTAAATTAAAAAACACACGTTAATTAGAACAACTCTATATTAGTTCATTTAAAATATTTTTATTAACAATGTATCAAAATTAAACTTTTTTTTATTCTTAAATTACTTAAACAATGTTTTTTTAATAGAATTTAATTTTTGTGTACAATCAATATAAAAAAAATTATATATTAATCAATCTTAATAAATAATTCTTATTAATATAATAATTTATGATTGAATAAAAATATATTTACATTAAATTCATATAATAATTACATATATGAGAAAAATATTATAAAAAACAATTTAATATTATTTTAATTTTTATGTAAAAGTAAAAAAATATATTATGTTTCTTCAAGATAATCATATCATAATTAATAAGAGTACATAACCATATGCGTATTTGTTTTTGAAGATTGGCATGTTATGTTATGTTATGGACAATCCCAAAAACGGCATACATTATATTTGATGCCATCAACCAAAATGAATAAGTCAAAACAGCCACGGTGAAACTCATCCAAAACTAAATTAGTATTATATATAAGCTCCTTTTCTAGTTAGTAATATATTAAATAGATACACTTTTTTACAAACTAAGATATATTTTCCCTTAAACTTTAAAAAAAAATGGATTCATCCCCTTTTATAGTCTTTTTAAACAAAAGATTATTTTTTTTAAACTTAAGAATAAGTAAAATATTGAAAAACTTGCTAGCTCTTTTCATAAAAAATTTTAAAATTATTATAGCTTTTTATATATGATTTTCATTAAAAAAAATTTGAAAAAACATAAACAGACTGAACTTAGTCATAAGATTATAGAGAAAATACTTGCGGGTAATTAGTTCAAAACAATATGTTTATTTTTCTATAACAAAATATTAAATTTAATCCTGATGTAAACATTACTTAGTCTAAAATTCTTCACAATCAATTGATAAAAGAAAATCCTAAATTATTGCAGGTCTAGACTATATAAATTAAAATATTCACAATAAACAAATAAAAGTAACCCTAAACTATTAGGAGCTGAAATTAAACTTCATTAATTAAGTATGCAAAGCTGTATCAATGTGAATGTGGAAATAAAGAAGGATCTCATGTTTGGAACTTTAATTTATTTGCATGCAATTCATTGGACTCGTAATAATGATCATCCTCACAGGATGGGATGCAACTAATCGTATACGCCATCAGTCACCTCTATCTCCATGCTCTTCCCACGTTCTGTATTCCCCATTCATAGTTGACATTCCTTTATGCAACCTCAAAGGGCATTTTCGTCCATGAGAATCCCCTCTATTTCTCATCTTTCGGCCGTGTTTAGCTTATCTTCCTAGCCTAAGAGGTTCTCTATCACACAACTAGCTAGCTACATATGCGAGTTAGCAACTAACACGCCACAAAAGTCCCCATCAAATCAATGGTATTTTCGGGCATCAACTCTTTAAGAACCTTTACCTTTTCATCCCCTCTCCTTCTTTAATTCCGATACCAAACAATGCACAACCCTTTTCATCTCCTCATTCCCTCATATATAAATATTCTACCCCTTCAACCCTCAATAACATCACAAACTACACCAACCCACTACATCTATATATGTAGCTATTCATTTTCTATTATTTTTCTCTCACATCTCTTCTTGCACTACAAACTTCACTTCCTATAATTAACCATACACATACATAATCATATATATACACTTACTAGTTACTAGCTTAGTGCCACACAAAAACATAAACAATATATATACATAGATAGATGGATCGTGTAGCGAAATTGGCTTCACAAAAAGCAGTGGTGATCTTCAGCAAGAGTTCATGCGGGATATGTCATGCAGTTAAGCGACTTTTCTATGAGCTTGGGGTAGGGCCTGCAATATATGAAGTTGATGAGGACTCCAGAGGAAAGGAAATAGAATGGTGTCTCATGAGACTTGGTTGCAACCCTTCTGTGCCCGCAGTGTTTATTGGTGGCAAGTTTGTGGGTTCAGCTAACACAGTGATGACCCTTCATCTCAATGGCTCACTCAAGAAAATGCTGAGAGATGCTGGAGCACTCTGGCTTTAGATCAAAAGTTAAGTCATGTCATGTGTACACCTCATTCTGCCACGAGCAATGCAAACAGCAACAGCCAAACGAAGCATTATCAGAACCTCATTTAGTTGTATTATAATATCATATCCTGGCACTTTTTTGGGGCAGGCAAAAGATATTTGCATGCCCTTCCTTTATAATTTTTTCTTTGGACAACCTTGTTTGAGAAAAAGAAAAAAGTGTTAGTGAATTAAAAATGATTTTAAAATAATGTAATAATGTCATTCTCTTTTTTCTTATATATTGCTTTTAGATTAATATATACTTTACCGTCATAAATTTTGGACTTGTGATAAATTAATTTTTTTAGAAGCTTGTGTTTAGTAATATCATTTTTTTTAAATGAATTAAAATACTTTGCAGATACAAACTTTGCTTAAGTTTTTGAAATGATTTATGATAATTTTTGGACAATCTCTTGGAAGTTTGTGTTCTTCCACAGTTGCGAGTTACACGACTTTTTCAGAGGACTGAATCTTAATTTTTGGAGTGACATCCCGATTGTGAAGAAAATTATGGTAAATCTAAATTAGTAGTGCATTGTATTTAACTGTATTATTTGATGGAAAAATAAATTGATGATGCCGCAGAAAACAATTAAGAAATAAAAATAAAGTAGAATTTAATTTAAAGGAATAAATTTGTATATATTAATTTACATTGTTTTTATGCCTATTCTTTCTATAACAAAATGTATCGATTAGTTAATAAACAAATAATATTTTATTGATGATAAAAAGTACTAATACTTTAAAGTTATGTATATGCATTGTTAACTACTAATAAAATTGTCATTAATTATTATTAATATAATGTGAAGACCTTAGCATGCAAATAACAGTCTCCCATGTCAACTAAATTATGAAAGCTTAAGATTCTCGATTATATAGGTGTGCATCTCATGCATTATACATATTCCTTTAACTGTTAATTTATATATTTTTTAAAAAAATATTTTGTGTATATTTTTAAAATTATTTTTACTTTATTAATTTTAAAATATATTTTTGAAATAAATATATACAAAAATGATAAAAAAATTATTTATATAATATCAATTTTTAAATATTTAAATATATCCAAATTAAAGTGAGACAAATGTCAACTTCGTTTTAAAGTTTTCCCATCATGTGGCTTTTATTTCAACTTTATTCTGTATCAATTTATACATTATAATTGGGTGCACAAACTGTACAATACAAAGGATTGCTCCCTAATATTTAAATAAATGTTAACAAGTTTTAGTGGGTATATATAACATGACACAAAAATGGCATGTAATAAATACTGTGCGGACTTTGTCATGTCAAAGGATAATTATATTCCATCAATTATAAAGTGGTGTATTAAATAGATATACCATGTTCATATTTCACGATTATAGAGATATATATCATGTCAAAGGATAATTATATTCCATCAATTATACTGTGGTGTATTAAATAGAAATACCATATACATGTTTATTTAGTTATTTGCATCAATAAAAAAATTAATTATTAATATAGTTATTATGATTCTATATCAATGCTATTTTTTTAAATTTTTTTAGAGTATAAATATTTTTAGAAAATAATCATACTTAAAACAGATAAAATTATTACAGATATTTATTTTTAAATATTAACATAATTATTTATGACTCAAATTAAAATTATAAATTAAAATTAAAATAATTTCAAATTAATACTCAATACATTAAAAAATATGTGGTGTAATGAAAAAAATTAAAAAAGTTTAAAGATATTTTTATTAAAAAAATTTAAAAAATAGTTTTTTAAAATCTACATCATGTTAAAAAGACTGTGAATTATCGATTATGTATGCATGGAGTCAAAAATTAAAGTGAATTTTGTCTTATGTGGCAATCAAACAAGAAGCCAATTAGTTGACTTTGTTAGGCAACTTATAACCAACTAGACAAAATTATAGAAAGTGCCTTCACAGCTTCACATTCCAAAGAACCACTAAGCAACTTAGAGAAAGACTTTATTATTGATAATGATCTTATTCAGTTTAAATGAAATTGCTTTTAATAAAAAAAACATTTTTAATTTTAAAAAATTATTTATCCTGCAATATTTCAAACATTGCTTAATATTTAAAAATAATAAACTATATTTTTAGTTAAATATAAGTATAATTTGAATTAAATTCTGTCGCTCTAATAAAAAACAATATACTTTAAAAATTAATGTAAATTTATAATTAAAAATAATTAAAATTATAGTATATAATAAACTGAAGACTTATTAAAATTTAATTTTAAATGTTTTAATCAACAGTTATAAATATGCTTTATATTCTGAAGAATATTTTGTTACTTTAAAGATAATAAAGCCAAATAGAATGAGGTTGGTTAATTAGATAGTATATTCAGCCAAATAAAACCAAATTCACCCAGTTCAAATAATTTATATCATATTGTATGAGATTACAAATATATAAGATACCATAACTTGTTTTTGTAATAATTATTCATAGGTCTGTCGGCATAGCCGAAGTTGGGGCAGTATTTTGTGTTTTGGGCAGCTAAAGATGCTAAAAATAAGGAGAATAAACAGAAGCTAGTGCTAATGAATTTGTCTAAGAAAAGTTAAGATTGGGCAATATTCACACAATCTGTTTCTTCTAATTTGAGTGATGGAATTGATTCCAATTTATCTAATAATCTGCAAAGTTATACCATCCTTCACGCCTACTGTCCCATGTTCATGTTCATCCATATACATTGTCTCTTCATTCTTAAAATTGAAGGTTGCCATCAAATTGACCTTCTTATATTACATGAAGCAAAGGAGAAGAGCCACTCTCACTAATTGATCACGTTCCAAATATTGTTGAGCCTAACATATTATTCTTTTTCATTCATTGTAACTAATAATGAAAGTATTGAATTTGAACCAATCTTATCTTATAATAGAGGACATTTGGGGATGGATTTTTATCCTTTTAAGATATATTTGGAATTAAGGTTAATTTGCCAGCAAAAGGAAAGATAGATTTCTTTTTTTATTTTTAAGGTAAGGGTTAAATGATGTTTATAAAGATAAATATAGAAATAAATATTAATCTATTATTATATTATATCAATTTTCAAAAATATTTATTTAGAATAAAAAATATATTCTTTTTTTCTTTTATTTCAATATCTCTTTCAAATATTTTTTAAAGTATTAAATATTATATGAATGTATTTTAATTCATAAACCCTGTCTTTCATATATTTCCATATTATTTTTTACCTTGGTCATAAAATTAAAATAATAAATTTATTAATTTTTTATATAATTTCTTTTTAATTTTTGAAAATAATTAATACAGTTTGTTTATTATTTATCGTTTTAATTAAGAATTAATAAAAATAAATATATCTATAAAATAATATTTTAAAAAATTTATTAAAAGAACAAATAATAATTTTTAAAAAAATTAAAATGCTATATAAAAGAAAACATATAAATTAAACTAAAAATAAGTAAAAAAAAATATATTATTATTAGGTCTTTAAACTTTAATATAAATATATTAAAATATTATATCACTATTAAAAAAATATGTGTCCTAGCCATTTTGACAAATATATGGTAAATTAGAGATTTGATTTTTATTTTTAAATATATTTTTTTGTCTATCTCTCTGATATATTGCCTAGTTTTAAGATATTAATATTCAGTGAACCTGATTTAATTTTTTTAAATAAAAAATATATAATTTTAAGAATATAACATAATAAATAATTATATTAATAAAAAATATTTGTACTGATTTTATATTTTTATGTATAATATTTGTATTTTAATTTATATTTAAAAACTAATTGTAAGTTCACAAAATGATTAAATTTTTCCATTACAAAGCACTCTTCTTTGCATTTGTAATTAAATGCTATCATAAGCATTTTTAAAAACATTAGAATTTATATTTTAATCTGAAAATTTTGGTTAATCATATAGTTAGAATATAAAATTTTAATAAATAAATATAATTTAATATGTTAATATAAAAATATTTTTATAACATTTAAATACTGACTTCTATCTTTCTTGGAATTAAAGTCTTTTAATAGTTATAAAAATTTATATTTCATACTTATAAAATTTTAAAACAAATGACATATATAGAAATTAAATATAACATTTGAAATTAATTCATACTTATTCATTGATTACGATATAACATTATTAAATATGAAAATAGAAGGTTAAATCATATTTATTTTCATTGTTATGATATTTAATAATTTTTAATTTATTTTAATTATTATAATTAAGTTTTAATTGAAGAATTTTGAATATATCATCATCATTATAACATTTAAAAAAAAAATATTGTAACAAAATCATTAAGTATAAATATTATTAATTTTTTAATTTAAAATAATAAAAATTGTTATCATAATTATTATAATATAAAATATAAATAAAATATTGTCTATGTTAATAGGTTATACATAATTATGATATATCAATTTTTATCAAATTATTTTCTAAAAAATTAAAATAATAGAAGAAGAGAAAAAAAAGAGTAGTTAAAATTTTTTAATTAAGATTTAGATAGAAACTAAAAGAGAAGAATTGTTGTATTTAATATACAAATTAATTTTTATATTAATTAAATTTACAGATGTTAATATAATATAAAATTTATGAATCACATATAAGATTTGTCTAGAAATAATATCAATACATAATATATATAATAATAAAGTAAGGAGATATATATAATAAAATAACTAAATTATTTTATAAAATACTTAAATGTTTGGTGACATTTTACTTTTCATATTTTACACAATATTAAATGTATTTATACAATACTGAAATAAAAATTGTTCAATCTTCTAAATCCTCTATTGTTGCCTTTTGTTCATCATTTTTTGCTTCATTTTCCTCAAGTTACAACTTAAAATAAAATATCAAATATAAATTACTAATCTAAGAAATTTAAACAATACATTATAAATTTATAATTTAAACATTATTTTTCTTTTTTTTTTAGGTAAATTTGGTGTTTTCATCGTTAGAGAATATAAGTGAACAACTTATTGCCAAATTATTTTCTTTTATTTTTGCATTTGTATTGTCTAAACCTTCTTGCTTTTCAATATGTAAATATCAAATAATGAAAATAAAGTTATTCATCATTGTATTATAAACATTATAAATGAAAGTAATGAAACTCCAATTTTATCTTTTATATTACCTTCGCTATCGGCTTCGCAATTTTATTTACAGTGAAACTTTATCTTCCACAACATTCAAAATAAGTACTATTTTTTAGTTAAACAATATGTGAAGTGTCAATAATCTTTAAAAGTTGTGGAAACAACTTTAACACTTCACCATCACCTTTAAAAAAACTATCGCATAAAAATAGTTATATGTTTTAGTATATTTTATTTATATAATCAATTATTTGATTAGATTTTTTAGAATATTTGAAATTAACACATTTTCTTACAAATTTAGATGTTGTAATAAAATATTTTAACTTTACTTGTGCTAATTGTTCAACAACTTTGTCAAATAAGATAAATATAATTGAATCCGTGAAATCTTTAACATCAAACTTAAGACAAAACCTGTAATGTATATAAATTAAGGTCATAATATACAATTCAATTTATTTTAATATGAAAATTTAAAAATTAGAATACATAATGATAAATTAATTACGTTATCATTTGATACTCAGCGTCTTTATAATATGATTCACATTTAAAATTTGTAGTTGTGAAATAAATTTTTTTCTTGTAATGGGACAAGAAATATAATACCAACTATTTTTAAGTATTACATCGTTCACAGTTGTAATACAACCAATTACGACATTCTGAAAATTAATTAAAAAATTAGTTTAAAAATTAAATAAGAAAAACAAAGTACAAGAGAGATTAAATTTATCATATCACTCTTTGATTTTATCATTGTCAATATTTCATATATGTTTTTGAAAATTTCTAACTTAGGAAGAATAGTAAATCATGTTCATCAACATTGTGAGCAATATGCATATCATTAAAATCCTTTCAATAAAGTGATAATGAATAATTAAAAATATGGTTAAAATAAAAAGTAAAGAATTAGCAATAATTAACGTAACAAAGATATTTTAAATAATTTCAATACCTGAATGAATCTATAAAATGAGTAACTTCTGGTATGTCAATATTAACATAATTCTTTATTGATCTTAAAGTGAAAATATAAATATTACTCATAATACATACACTTATATTTTTTATAATTAAATATCACATATATTTGCACTTTTATTTTCTATTTTTCTATTGTTGAATTCACATCCTTAAGAAAATTCTATTTATCTTCGTTGAAACTTTTTATTTTCCTACAACATCATGGAAAACATAAAAGTAAATAATTACTTGTGATGAATATAAGAAAATAATAAGAGATTTGATACAGATTAATTAATTAAAAATAAGATTCAATACATTATATCATTTAAAAATAATACGACTTTATGCTTACTCAAAAAAATAAATTAAAATATATAACACAATTTAGTGAAACAAAATAAAAAATATCAAACTTGAAAACACATATGCTTACATAGATAAGACATGGTTACAAAATATAAAAAAAAAAATATGACAATAAAAAAAAGGTGAGTAAATTTTTAAAAATTATATAAATATAACTTATATAAGTAGAGAAAAAGTCTTTCCTAAAAATATATGAAAAGTCATAAAATAAAAAATATAATAAAAATTATTTTTTATTCAAATTTTATTTTAATAATATAATATATAATATAAAATAATATTCACATTCAACCTATATTTTAATTTTTGAAATATATATTTAATTATATATTATATTAAACTAATTAATAAAATCATTTAAATATATAAACTTGCCTTTTCATTAGAAATGTAATTTAATAATATATAGTATAAATTAATAATTTTACAAATATTTTAATTTTTGAGATATATATTGAACTATATATTATATTAAATTAATTGGTAAAATAATTTAAATATGTAAACTTATATTTTCATTAAAAATTTAATTTAATAATATATAATATAAACTAATAATTTTAGAAATGTATTTTTTATTTAAATTATATTTTAATATTTGAAGTAAATATTGAAATATAAATCAAAATAAAATAATTTAAATATATAAAAATTTTATAAAAAATTTAATTTAATAATATATAATATTAAGTAATAATATTATAGGTGTAGTTTTTTAATTCAACGTATATAATATAATCATAACTTCTAATAAATTATTCTTAAATATATTTTATAATAAGTATGAATCAGATATAATTTTAATTCATAAATTTTAAAAAATATTATAGTTAATTTTAATAAATGGTAATTTAAGATAATTTATAGTATAAATATTTAAGTTGCCATATGTAACGTAATATAACCATCAATTTTAATAATTTTTTTAAATATAATTCATCAAATTTAATAAAGATTCTTTAAATACAATTTAAAGATAATAAGTATGAATAAAATATAATTTCAATTAGTAAGTTTACGTTTCAAATTTTAATACAAAGAGTAATAATTATATGCAATTAATATGCGTAACTTTATAAATTCTGAATTAATTATTTAAATATAATTCTTCAATTATAATAAAAAAAATTTAAATACAATTCAAAGATAAATAAGTATGAATAAAGTATAATTTCAATTCATAAGTTATACTTTTCAAATTTTAATGCGTAATAAGTGAGTGCACATAAAAATGACTTTATATGTTCTAAATTTTAATACATAAAATAATAAGTAAATAAAGTCACATATATAAAAATAACTTTATACATTTAAAAATTTAATGTATAAAATAATAAGTAGATATTATCATATTTAATGCATTATTAAAATAGCAAATAAGATACATTATATTATCATATTTTATCTATTTCTAACACAAACTCCTTACGTGGTTAAATTTATATTAGAAAGTAAGATACGATGACTCAATAGAATAGATTTGTCACACCATGTAAGTCAAACAAACAGTAATATGAGATAAAAACAGATATTATATTATTCCTTTATCCTCGTTACCAAACGACCCCAACAGATAAATGTAAATTTAAAACCATTAACTTTCAAAATGTATTTATATCTTATCATAATCTCAACTATTGTTGTTAATTTATTAATCAATGGTTAAAAATGCGTTGTATCGTATAAAGAACACTTCTCACTAACAACCAAATCAGGCTGAATTATGCAAGGAAAGAATCACTGACTTGTGCTGATTAAATTTAATGACTACCATCCAATAACATCTCACCCCAATTACCAGCAGTTCACGATGGGAAAACAGTTTTCCTCGTATGACAACACAGTACAGATATTTATATCTGGCCAACAGTGCAGAGACACCAATCCCACTCCGTATGTTGGAGGAAGAATAACCTAAAAACCATCTAGGGCACAATACAACAATACTATTGATGTTGAAATAATTCAATAACCCTCTAAAATAACCGGGGTGCTAGCTTCAAATTTCTGTCTGGCAATGTCTGTCTCTTGAATCACAAGAATCTGTTCATTGAGGAAGAACTGGAGGAGCAATAGCACGAGTATTATATGATCTGCAGTGTCCACATTTTTGCCCAAGAATGTGGAAGTAAACTTCTGTTGTGTCATTACAGTCATTACATAGTATCCAAACCTGCATTGGATGTTTTTTAGTCTTTTTGAATGTGGATGCTTAGTTATATTAATCCAGTTCTGAAATAATCGTGATATATACATCTTTCATGATACGCATTAGGAGGATTCTGCATCATTTCATCCCATCCTATACTTACATAGTAAAATGGCATCATCCATATATTACATAAGTTAGCTTTCTCGTAAAGATCAAATTCTTTCCTGTGTTTTTGAACAACAAATTTGAATGGTGGTTTCGCTCCAAAGCTATGGAGGAGAAAAGGACCATTTCAAAAGCACCTTTCATACCCAATCAGGGTAGGGAAGGACAAATCTATTAGGTTTTCCATTTACAGCCAGAGTTAAAAAGCGGTAGCTATTAGAAGCATTTCAGAGAATGAAACTTTACCTTCCTGTATCGATAATCTTCAGGCATGACAGTTGATTCAATCTAACATCACGTGAAAATAAATAGATCAACAAGAAATCTTAACTAAAGCAGGACATTTACATAAGCAATGTTTTGCACGATATAGATCTATAAATCAAATAAAGGAAAGCATCTGTTTGCTTTAATTTAATCAGCTACCTCTTCATCAATTCTCTTCCACGTTCTAGACATGTCAATCACCGACTTGGAGCATATGGGACAACAATATCTACGCCATGGACCAAATAAAAAATCTAGTTAAGCAGATATCAAGTCCAAAGATAAAAGAAATTCTCAAATAGTTAAGATACTCACTTGTCACGTTTTATCATCTCTTGGTAACATTCATGGTGCATTGTGTGACCACAAATCATAACAGTAGTGTCTTTCAATGAATCAAAAAGGTACTACACAAACATAACAATGTCACATCACTAACGTTTCAATCTTCAGTTTCCAATGACACAAAAGAAGAAATTCCATGTTTGGCTAAAAACCAAAGACAGGGAAAAGGAGGGCATTATGTGGGCACCTCATAACAAATTGGACAGTGATGCCTCATGGAGTTCTCCACACATAAATGATTATCACGCAGACTAACTGAATAACAAGACCCTGCAACTTAAAAAATGATCATTACAACAGAAATCTTTACACATAAAGTATTGAGCAATTTATTTGTTAAAAGAAAAGGTCTAATTCAGCAACAAATGTGATATGCTATAAGATCAAACTCAAGATTCAAGAATTGAAATATAATCCACCAAAAAAGAATGCAGAGCAAATTATTTTCAGAGAGGCTGCTAAGCTTGAACTCTACCTTCATTTAATGAACGAGTGGTAAGATCAAGGGGTACACCAAACCAAAAATGAAAATTTACAGGACAACTAGAACAAACTAATCACAAAATTTCAAAATGCCATAGATCAATGCTGCTGTGATTATATATGTCATTTGATATCGGCAGACCAAAGATGTCGATTTTGTTTCTGAGGACTAAAGTCTTCTGATTTTAAAAAGCAAACTCTACCAACTTTTATTACTTAATGAGTCAAATCTATCAAATATCAACACCTTATGTACTTCTCAAAATACATAAAGCAGTGGCTAGGTCAGAAAATAATTGAGTCTGCTATTAATATATATGTAAATGATCAATTTGAAACATAACCTATTATGGGGGAGAACATGCCAAGGCAACAATACTAGTGACGAATGCATACCGCACTTCTTGCAATGGAAAAAATTATCTTGACCACCAACCCTGTTTCCAAATTACAAAGCCAAAATTGGTTTGCATGTAATAAATTTGGGTAAATTAATCGTGCACATGGCATTATAGAAGGATCTACTCAAACATAACACAACGCACCTGCAGATCCCACAATCATTACAATGAAACTGTCCTTTCTCAGTCTGAAATTTGATTATACAATAGTCAGAATCATTGAGGAAATAATTAGATTCAAAGAGTTCAGTTTAGTCCATCTATAAAAAGTTAAGGACAAAAGCATAAGTTGATAAATCATATTCAAGAAGTAGAAAATAATCAGACACTGCACATTTATTCAGTTCAGGGAAACATTACATCATCATCGAAGAATTTGCAGATGTTGCAGAAATATTCTCCCATTTTGACGCCACAGTTTGTGCAAACCTGAGCAACCTTCAAAGAAACAAAAGGGGAAACAAAATCAGGAGCTTATCCATACTTCTACCCAAAATCAATCAAATAAATAATCGAAGTTTTCAATCGAATTTTGATTAAATACATACAGGTTGCTCAGTGTCACAAACCGAACAAACAACCTGAAACGGCAAAAAGATGTTAAAAGTTCATTACTCTTGTCATCTCTGTTGACCACTTATATAAACATATTTGTAAATATCAAAAGGAAACAAAAAATAATAAATTGAAAACTAGTACTGCCCATTTATCTTACTTGTTTAACATCTTGGCGAACGAGTTCGTGGTGATCAAGGGGATTCTTTAACAAGTTCTAATGGGGAAAATAACGCAAACCCAGATCAGAGGAAAGCAAAAAGGAAAAATCTTTGAGCTAAAAAAGAAGAATAGGAAAACAAAATACCGTTGCCTCGTTATGACAGTGACGGCATGAGTAGATCTCGTTGCAGCAGGGAGCACGAATCCTGCATCTTCTCCTGTAATGCTGGCACCTGTCATCAATCAAAGTCACAAATATATTAAAAACAAAGAAATTGGAAGGAGTAATCAGAAAAGGGGCAAAAAAATGAATACCCATATCCCATCTTCCCAAAATCATGACGTTCGTTGACAGAGCCTTCCATGAGGTACTTTGATTTTGGCTTTTGTTTTCTCTCAGAGAAGGCGAGGAGGAAACTTTCCTGATTTGGGAAGATATGTTATTAGGCCTTCATCCCCAAAACAGAAATCTTCCAACCCCTTCTCCTCCTATATCAATCATGTTAAAGTTACAAACCACCCCCATCCTTTCTTTATTTTTTACATTTTTTTAATGTACAGTGTAATGTAATGAACAATTTTTTTAATCCGTGTTTGAGATGCATAACAAAAGTTATAAATTTTAACATATCTACTATAATTTAATAATATTTACTATTTTTTTATTATACTAAATTAGATAATTATTAAAATATTATATAATAATTAATTTTGTTCTATCGAAATTTATTATAAGTTTTAAATATCTAATAGTGATTTTTATTAAGAACTTTTTTAAAAAATATTATTAATTAATGTCTAGTTAAGAAATTAAATTTTTTTTTATTAAAATATAATTAAAAGACCTTTTTATTTTTACCTAACCAACATGTTTTTTTTTTAAATTAATAGATATTAACCAGTGTTTTAAGTTAAAAAATCAAAAGAAACAAAATTTTGTTAAAAAATATAATAGATACATTTTTTGTAATAGTTTTTACTATAGTATAACATAATTTTTAATAACAAAATTTACTTTTAATTCTTTGGTCAACATTTTAAAGATGCTGATTAATAAAGTCTAAAAAAAAATTTAATTTCCAAAACCTTAACGATTATTTTAAAAAATATTTATTGATAAGGCCTTTGTTTTTTCATACATTTTTAATTAAAATATTTTAAAACTTTGCTTTTATTTGATTAGGAGTAATTTGGGCACTTGGGGTGAGAGTACGTGTGGGATAAGGTGGGTGGTGAATGGCACTGACAGGCGCAGGTGTGCCTTGAAGTAGAGAAAAAGGAATATTGCCGAATGCTCGGCTAATAGGATTTCAAAGATTTAGAAAAGGAAGCCAATCGGCACACGCAAATCGTCGTGCCTGTATTTAGCAACCAAGGGCTAATTTTGAGTAGTTACGAAATTCAAGTATTTTGGGGTTGGAAATTTGAACTTCTTTTTTTAAATATTTTTTAGAACTGATTTTAAGTGACAAAAAATAAATCAATTATACAAATTTATTTATTGCTTTATATTTTATATGCAATAAAACTTTCTCCAAAATTTTTTCTATTGTCAATTCTTTAAAACCAATTTAAAAGGCTAATATTAGTGAAATTAAAACAAATTTGTCACCGGCATTTTTTAAGAATTAAAGAAAAATTATAACAAAAATGTCACCCTTGACGTTATCAAATAACTTTTTCTTTTATTTATAATAAAAAATTTATTAGTTAGCTTTACAGGGAAACAAAAAATGAAAACTTTTAAATGTTAAGATAAATTTTGCATATCAAATATAACACAAAACGAATGTTTTGTTATGATATGCATTTAATTGATATTTAGTTTGAAAAATATTTAAGTATGGAGCCTTATAATGAGTAAGATATAACAATGCAATCTCAAATACATAGGTTAATTTATTTATAAACTCGTAACTTGCTCATATTCAAATATAAATCTATGTATTTATATGGGCTCTCTTAGTAGACAAATTTCTTTCATCCATAGTATCTATGATTTACACTAGATCAACTTTTGATCTTTCTTTTACACAGGCTGGAATGACTTAGCTTTAATACCACTATTAGATATATGGGTCAATCTCTTTATAAATTTATAACTTATTCATATCAAAATGTGAATCTATCTATTTATATCGACTTTATCAGTAGTAAAATTTCTTTCATTTAGAGTATCCATGATTACTAGAACAATTATTGCTCTTTTTCACATAAGTTGTTGTCGATTATCTAAATTATCTTATCTTCGATATCACTTTTAAAATGAATAGATACAACAATGCAACTCCAAAATTTTAAAACAATGGATATATGAGTCTATTTTTTTATAAACTTATAATTTATTTATATTACATGAAATTAATTCATACTTGATTTCAATGACTAGTGAAAAATAAAAAACCAAAGAAAAAGATATTTTCCTTTCTTAATTTTACTTAATGTAGATTATAAATTTAAAATATTATAAATTTTTAAACACTTAAAGACGTTTATTATCCTCTCTTCGTGTCATATTTTACCACTCATTACGTATTTTATTTTTCTTTTTGAGTGTAATTCCTGCATTTTCCTTTAAAAATAGGTGGAGTTTATATATATTTTTTAAATGTTTTTGAAAACTGCAATCAAACATACCACTGTAGCCTTTGCCAAGTTACTTGTTTCATAGCTATTATTATTATAACCAACTATTATATTTGTCCAAAACAGTTGTCATTGTTTCCTTTCGATGATAACAACCACAGTTGGCAATAGGAGACAGCAGAAAGTATGGTTGGTTCCTCAAAAACAATTTACCCAGTGCAGGCCACAGCTTCACCACTAAACCACAACAACAAAAACCATCACTCTCATCTACATATATCCTCAACCTTCCCTCCCTTCCTGTCTCCATTCCTCAATTAAAGAGAAAAGAGAGAAAGAAATGGGTTGTGGGAAATCTAAACTCGATGTTACTGCTTCTGGAAACACCGTTTTCCAACGCAAAAAATCCAGCGTCAATTCCAAGGCAGACCAGGAGAAAGGGCCACAAACCGTAGACAAACACTGTAGCCAGGAAGCTATTGCTGTGGACAACACTGTGGCAGAGAAGTCTGAACGTAGCAAAGACCACGATTCATTGGAAAAGAAAGAAGAAGTGGCTAACGATGTTTCTGTTGCTGCACAAGAAAAGAAAACACAAAATGATAAAGGTATGAAAATGATGAATCAAATCAACCTTCATATTGTTACGATGAAAATTCTTTTTTAGTTTTAAGCAAAATATATATTAACCTAACCCTTTTTGTTGTTAATTCCTGAAGTTATAAATTTTAATTTGCTTTTGCGCGTGTACAGAGGATGTGAGCTTAAAGGAGGAGACTTCGGTTAAGGAAGAAGAAGCCAAAGACGCGAATCAGAAAGAGGCTTTGGTGAAGGAAGAAGAAACCAAAGACATAAATCAGGAAGAGACTTTGGCCAAGGAAGAGGAAACCAAAGACGATAATATTTCGACCACGGAAGCTGAACCAAAAGATTTGAAAGGTGAACTGGTACGTGAGGTGTGGCATATTAATTAGTCAACTCATAACGATAAATACATTTAATTGGAACACGTTTGTGCTGCAGGGAGGGACAATAGAGAATGGAACAGACAGAAAATAATGTTAAACGTGATTAGAGACAATCGGGGTTAGTACAAAAATTGTTCTGGTTACTTGAGTGATTTCAGGGTGTTTCCGGTTCATTAGTCATGTTCCAAATCTGGGTGGGAAATAGCTCAGAGACGTGTAGTTCTGTGTTGCGTTGAATCTTCTTTTTTCGTGGTCCTCGCGCAAGATTTTGCATAATATCCTCAGAAAGTGTTGTGAATCTGGACTCCGTATTTTGACCCTATGCGCTGCTTGTTAGACGAAATAGATATGCATATTTTGATTATCTTTTAATATAAAAAGGTTCAGCATAACGATTCGTTGGTATTGATTAGGAGTGGTGACAATTTATGAAAATTCAAGCGAATGATGTCAAAATCTAAAGCGACAATGATTTTGCTTACAAGTTTTTGCATCGAACGAGGTTTTTTAAAAAGTTGTCCACAGGCAAATCTAAGAAAGGGGGCAAAGGCTATTAAAAAGAAGAAAAAACTAACATAATATTAAAAGATGTTTATCATGTCTTCATCGATGAAGATTATATTTTATTGCATGGAAAGTATTGTAATTAAAAAAAACAAAGAGTAAAATATGAAAATAAAGCATGTGAAACAACTATTATTTTAATGTGATGAACCGAAGTTTAAATGTATGGAAACACACAAGTACGACGAAGGGATTTGTTAATTCTAAGAGTAATTATCGGTTGACTTGTTTTGCTTAATAAAATTTGTAGATCTAATAAAATTTATCCTTTAGATTAAGAATTATCAACTTTATACAATTTTATAAAATTTTAAAAATATATTGAGCATTGACAGTTTGTGATATTATATTAAATTCTCAAGCGACAATGGTTTTAGTTACAAAATTTTTTATTGATGAGTTTTTATAGGAAGAATAACAACTTTAGATTTCAAAAGTTTAATAAAAAAGTTATACAGTGACAAAACAGAGAAATAAGTGAAGGAGAAATATTAAAATTGTAAAACAAAATTAAAAAAAAGTATAATAGAAGATGTTTATATCGCAATGAATGGATATTTTTTTATATAAAGAAGTATAAAAATACAATTTTTGTCTTTTTTCTTAATTTAGTTTATGTTATGTATATATTTTTTTTGTTTTTCATATGTTGAATATTTCAAAATTCAAACAATTAGAAATAAGAAAACATACATTTTTAAAATTAATGAAAAAAAATTATTGTACACATTAATTAAAATAAAAATATATTTTTGTAAATTTTATTATTTTTAATTTTTTTTATGTATTTACTTTTTTATGTTATAATAAATTGAAAAATTAAATAAATAAAATTTATATGATAATTTTAGTAGAACAGTTAATTGTTAGTCACATATTTGCAAATTTTATTATTTTAAAAAATTTCAATTGTTTAACTTTATATGTTATAAAAAGCCTTTATATTAATAAAAGTAATAAATTGAAAATATTAAATAAAGAAAAATTTACACGATGATTTTAGTAGAACAATTTTATTATATGTAAAGAAATTATAATTAAAATATAAAGTTAAAAAATTATATAATTTATAGTACATCACACAATACTAGTGCCATATAATATAATGCTAGCGGGAAACTCATATTTCCCCATTGTTGGCGCGAAATATTCGCGTGGCTTCCACTTCTTTGGAACCGCAGATCTCACTTTCGAAATCAGACGGTTATAAACGCATTGATCATTGCGCAATTTTTCGTCACGCTTTAAAATAAAATCTCGCTCGCGCTCCTTCTCTTTCCACACTCTTTGGGAAACCCTTGATCTGAGAAACCCAATGGGGAGACCCTCCAAAACTCAGGATTCCAACGACTCAACCTCCGAGGAGGAGGACGCCGCCG